GGGGGGGAGGGGGATGGAATTAACAGTAGCAAATATCTGTCGGGGGATGGGAAAACACCTCTTATCAACAGGGTGCCTGAATGAAACGTAATTGTACACCTAACCCTTAACTGTACCCCACAAAACCATAATAAAAAATACTGATTAATGAAAAAAAAATAATAGATTGTTGTATTTGGATTGGGCTGGGGAGGCAAAAAAATGGGTGTGTCAATAACAGAAAACAACCATGATAATAGAGTGAGCCATTGGAGATTATGAGCTATTTATTGGATATGAATGTATAACTGAGTAATTGGATGCATTTCCACATTAGGCACAGTTGCTTAAATCAAAATTGAAATGGAGTCATAAAATCTCATAACATTAATGTTGTTAACTAACGTCAATGGGAGAGACTTGAGTTTTGCTGAAGCTGTGGGGCTCCTTATGAATTCTCCTCATGATGGATGACTCCCGCCCACAGTCATGGGCAGCTCAGTTCACCAAAGAAAAACAAGTTATTTATCTTAATCAGGCATCCTGCCTCAACATCCACCTACACAGTAGTTGAAGACCTCACTGACTATCCCTCCTCTAAGCTGGAAACATTTGAGGCCTCCTTTATTCCCCGCTTAATAGCTAACTGTTGAATGAGTAAAATTCCCCTACTCCCAGAACTGAGTAGTGCTGCTTCTTAACATGTAACAGAAGAAAGAAAGATGAAGCTGAGGTGTGTTGTAGAAAAGGGATTCAAACTGAGCGGTACTGACATTTGGGGCTGCGTAACTCTTTGCTGGAAAGGAGGAGCTGTCTTGTACATTGTGGGATGTTTAGCAGCATCCCTAGCCTCTAGTCCCCTGTCCGTTAGATGCCAGTAGCACTTCCCACCCCAAAGTTGTAAAAACCAAAAATACGTCTCTCCAGACATTGCTAAATGTCTCGAGAGGTACAGTCAACCTCTCTACCTCTCAGTTGACAACAACCGGTATAGACAGTGACAGATAGCCTAATGAAGGGGAATTCAGGTAGACTGAGTCTGGCTTAGCATTCACTAGAGGATCTGAGGAAAGGCATGTTCTTCTCCTGGCTGACTCCAGGGGTATATATTGAACAGATAATAGCAGAGGTGAACTGGTTCTTGGGTCATACCAATAACTTATACCAACTGATGCATCTTCAGTTTGGACTCCAGAAGTCTACCATGTCAGAGTTGTGGTTTTATCCCCAAATGTGGCCCTAAACATCACTGAACATAAATTCTCTTGCTTTGCCTTCCCATCAGTCCATGGATCATTAATATTCTTCCTTTACTGCTCAGAGTTCCTGTCTGTGCCTGTCGGATAGGGTGGTTTTGAAGCCTCAGTTGCCCACAGGTCCTGGGTGCACCAGGTGCATCATGAATCCACCATTCCCTAAAGCCTAGAGCTGTGATTCTGCATTCTTTTTTTTTTTTTTTTTTTCGTGAGTCTCACTCAGTCGCCCAGACTGGAGTGCAGTGGCCGCTTCCAGTCACCGCAGCCTCGCCTGCTGTGCTCCAGCGATCCTTCCGCCTCAGCCTTCCGAGTAGCTGGAATTACTGGTGCGCGCTACCACGCCCGGCTGATTTTTTGATTTATTGTAGAGATGAGGTCTCGCCGCCCAGGCGGGTCTCGAACCCGCGGGCTCCGGCGATCCACTCACCTCAGCCTCCCAAAGGCGCGGGACGGCAGGCTGAGCCACCGAGCCCGGCTGTGATTCTGCATTCTTTAACTATGGCTACACAGTCACAGCTGGGTGATGAACAACACAGGTTAGGGGCAGAGAGCGCTTAAGAGAGGCCAACCTCGTGTCCTGGGTTTTCAGTACAAGATCACTGCACAGAGGCTCTTACTTCCAAGATGAAGAAAAACATCTATTCGGTTTTGAGACCCTCATTTCTTCCCCACATCAAACATGGCTGAATAAAAGGGAAAAGACAGCATTCACAGCTTACAAATAGATCACGTTCCAAAAATATGTCTGCCTCAAGTCAGTTGTTTGGGAAACAAAGCACATGCTTCCTTAGAAAGGACGCACAAGGCAACTATGACACCAATTTGCATTTGTGTAGTACAAGTACGTTTACAAAGTACATTCGGATCCATTATTTCATTCAATGTATGAAACAACTCTGCAAAATATTTTGGGATTATTGTTCCTATGTTCAAAAAAGAAACTGTGGTTTGCAGGGGATAAATGAGAAGCAGTTCCTAAAAGGCCATTTGGTCCATAATATTCTTCATGGGGAAATGCCCTAACCAAATGGACAACAATTCTGTGGAAAAATATTGCCATTTAAAAGGATGTAATGAATATGCCTTTGTTGTTGGTTCGGTAACTCTCTCCCTCCTTCCTTCTCTTGATGTAGCTTCATAGTATCCAAAACTTCATCCAAGTCACTGATAAAAATAGAGAACAAGGGCAGGCTCAGGACCCAGCCTTGTGGTCCGCTAGTGGCCACCGTCATCAGGAGGGTTTCAGTCCTTGGTTAGCACTCGATGTTTGCGGTACCCAACTGTCCAAACTATGCATCAGCCTCTTTTTCCCTCATCCTTTATCCTCTAGTTCAAAGCTTCTTCAGGGAGCACAGGATGCCCGGGCATGAGCTCCAGGAGGGTGCAGGGCAGACTTGAGACCAGGAACGAGCAGGAGAAGCTGGGCAGTGCCAAAAAGAGCACAAGATGCCCAGAGAAAGTGGGGGAGGAGGGGCCCTCAGCTAGGAGCTCCCTTCGCCTCATCTGGTGCTTTATCACCGCTCAGCAAACCCCTGGAAGAGGTGAGAAGAGGACAGTCCCACAAGGCAGTTGGCTGCAAAGACAGAAAGAGGGAGGAGGGGAACTATGCTGGCAGAAGGAGATCAACAGGAAAGGGAGAAGGGTTTTGGGTCACAGACTGATCACAGAAGTCTGGGGAAGTTGAATTTAGGTACATTTCATTTGCTTTGTTTGTTTAAAGTTGACACATACAGTGGGACTCTTTGCCAGTGCTTCTCAGACTTCATCAGCAATGACAGACTTGCTTGTTAATCATGAAGATTCCTGATTATCCCTCTAGATCCAACCCCAGGGAACAGTATTCCTATCTCAAGTTGGCCTGATCAAAGTGATCTGAGGATTGCCCTTGGGAAACCCTGTTGCAGACCCTGCCACTCCCAGAGGCCACACCTCCCATGGGCATCACCTCTGTCTCTGCTTCCTGTTTGCTGTGGCAGGTGGTGGCTGTCTTTCAGGCAGTGTATCTGCAGAAGGACATGGCATGGTTTAGTTATATTGCAGGAACAAGCCCCTCCTTGTTTTGTATTACTTTGATTTCTAACAGTTATCTGAGGACTGACACATATAGGCAATCCTCACCCCAGTCTTGCAGTTGCTGCCCAGAACAGTGCTAGAATTGCTCTCTGGCTGGACACACTTTTTGAAAGAGCATCCTTGGTGACAAATATCCTTGTTGGCTGGAATGTATACATGAAAGGAGCCAAAAACCACTTGGCACCAAGTCTGAGGACAGGAGCAAGTGATTCAGCACTAAAATCATATTTGGGTCTGAGGCCAAGGGTGACTCTAAACTGAAGGGCCTGACCTTCTGGCAGGATTCAAGATAGTCTCCTGAAGTATGGAGGAGGAGGAGGAGCTCCACAGTTCTTTCCCCAGGAAGGACAAGATGAAGGCCAGAACTCACGTGAACAGGCATATTTCTTCAAAATTGTGTTACTTTGTCATTTCAGCCTACTCTGGTTTCTGACAATGGGCACTCAGTTTCCCCTGAATTAGTGCATTTCTCTACTCTTCCCTGGAGGAGATGGGAGACCACTGTGAGGCCTGGGCAGGCTCTGGGCAGGAACTCACCTTGCCAGTGGTGCTTGTAGTCGCACATGCGAGACAGGGCGATCATCATGGCGCAGTACAAGGGTAGGATGGCGGCACAGAGCCGCCAGCTCTTTCCCCGCCCACTCTCAGTGAAGCAGTGCAGCTTGCCCGCCAAGTAGAACGTCGTGAAGCCAAGGCCCGAAAAGGCAACTGCCAAAGAGAAACAGCAGGTGTTAATTCTAGCAGGTGGTGAGTGGCAGAGACTCAGGGAGTCCTAGGCATCCTGTCTGCCATCTTGTACAGCCTCAAGGCCAAGGTCATGTTGGCAACAGGCACCATCTAGGCAATCTGTGTTCCTGCTCGAGTTATGCTGTTATAAAACTTTCAACCATGAGAATGATTTTCAGGCTTGCATGTGATCAAAAACTATTCTATTTAATTCATTCAACAATGGCTTAATGGGTATTTACCATGTGATAGACATGCAATGTGCTAGGTATGGGAAATTTTAAAATGCATCAAATGCTATTTTTGATATCAAGCGGCTCACAGTCTAGTTGAAGGTCACAGCCATGCTAATAAATAATTTTGATATAATGTGTTACATTATATATATATTTAAAGTTTATACAGAACAAAGGACAGTGAAAACTACTTAGATTTGAAGGGTACAGTAAAGAAAGGGGGTTAGAACAAGCTCCAGATTTTTGGCTTGTGAGACGGTGTATGATGGTGGTGTTCACTAAGATGGGACCAAGTGCTATGAGAAGTTGTTTTGATAGAGAAGACAGTGTTAACAAATACTTTGTTTTCTCTTAGAAATGACAGTTATTGGATTTTTAGAATTGCAAAGACAACTCACAGCTATGCTTAACCCATTGTCAGAAGTGTGGAGTGTGGGTATATACTATATACCCAACTGGATGAGAAGCTCTCATCCAATTAGGCTTAAAACACAGTTTGAACTCTGTGAGATTTGGTAAATCTTCTGATGGTTTAGTGCAATGGCCCTAAACCCTGGCTACATATGGAGTCGTCTTTGATACCTGGGGAGCTTTAAAAAGTACTGGCAGCCAGGTCCCATTGACAGTCATTCTGTTTGTAGTGGTCTGGAGGGGGCCCTGGCCTGTGTGTGTGTGTGTGTGTGTGTGTGTGTGTGTGTGTGTGTGTGTGTGTGAGAGAGAGAGAGAGAGAGAGAGCGAGAGAGAGAGAGAGAGAGAGAGGAGGAAACTTTCCACTTGGAGGCTTTGTTGAAGACAAGCGCTCTAGCTCCCCACCTTCTCTTGACACCAATCTAATCAAAATTTTCTTCTTGATTACAAAATACTCCTGAGGGGGAAGAGCTCCTAGATAACTGGCCCACATAATGCCAACAACTTTAAGAGACGGCCCAAAGCCTGACCTGCAGCCTAAGCATCACATGGGAGGTCATTACAAACACATATTCTCAAGCCCAACCTAGATCTACTGTGTCAGAATCTGCATTTCACAATATCCACTAGTGATCTGTGTGCACACTACGAGGGGAGACTCAAAGAAAAAAAAGGGAATTATTTTTTGAAGGGTGGGCTTTTGTAGTAAAGGCTTCTGCCACTTGGTGTTTTAGGAACCCATTGACATCAGTACGCCAGCTAGCATTGCTGTGAGAGACTGCATTTGGCTTAGTGATTTTTTTTTTTTAAGATTCTTTCAACACGTCTGCCCATTTCCTGATGGGTGATTTACATAAACAATGTGTAAACGGTGCTGAGTATTCAGCAGTTTTTGACCAAAAATGACATGATTCCCATGCCCTACTCTCCCTATTTACCCAATTTTTCCTTAAGCAACTTTTACTTTTGTTCCCTTGGATAAAAAAACTACTCAAAGTGAAACATTTTGCCAATGTGTAAGAGGTGAAACAAAAAATGGCAGAAGCACTAAAAGGCATCAAAATCGACAAGTTCAAAAACTGTTCTGAGCAGTGGAAAAAGTGTCTTGATAGGTATATTGCATTAAATGGAGAGTACTTTGAAGGTGACTGAAGTTTAAATGTGTAAGAATAAATAACATATTTCTTAATAAATAAATTCCTTTTGAGAGGAGTACTCCCACGTACACTCTGAGAAGCTCTGGCTTAAAACACATTAATCAATCTTATGAGAAATCTTAAAAAGTTCATCTTAAGGAAATAATATAAAATATGAGGGAAATCTATAAGATGTTCTGCTCAAAGTTATTTATAATTATGGAAAAAACTGAAAGTGATCAATATAGAGGCATAGATTAGCAAATTGTGACATTTCTATTCAAGAAACTGTGATGCAACAATGAAAACTGTGATCATGTAATGACATAGACAATACCTAGAATACAACATTAAGTGAAAAGAGCAGGACCCTAAATTGAAGATTCAAGATAATCTGACTATAATACATATCAATGAACAACCTATAGGTGTTCCAAATTATCTCTGATAATAGTGAGTCTTTAAAAAAATATATCAGTTATGAATACAAGATTAGACCAAAAGTAGAATTTTTTTCAGCAACCAAATTAAACAACGTTACAGTAGGGTTTAGTTATTTATTTTTTTAACAAACTATTAAACCAGGTTTATCCCAGTTATAACAATGAAACAAAGGAAGGAAATACAAATGTGAGAGTTACGTGCACCGAAACATTTCTGCAAAATCATTAGCATTCAACTAAACAGCAGAACGGTGCCAATGTATATTAAATAATCTGCTTAAAAGGGAATATGTGAGAAGCTGCATTGCCCAGCCCTGTTCTAGTTAGATGCTATGATGGAAGGGTACCAAGTGATTTACATGGTGTTCCACTGTGTCTCCATTTGGCCACCATCCCAGCAAGAACAAGGGCTCCTTAAATTCGATCCTCATCCACTTTGCGCTGTTTCTTCCATTCATTTACATTCTCCCATGAGATGTCAGAGTGGGAGGGGAGGCTGGAGAGTTGGCTCTCTATGGTATTGGCCCCATCCTGAGCCCTTACAGGCGGAATAATGGACTTTATTCAAATCAGATGGCTTAACAAGTCTATCTACCTAATTACACAAAATGTGAAGCATAAAAGAACTGCCCTAGGGTTTTATAGGATTATAGATGTAAGACTCCAAGATTTGAATCAGAGGAGAGGCAGTCCTGGGTGTTGCCAAATTTGCATCTCTCAGAAAAAAAAGGGAAAAAAAGTGAACATAGGGGATATTTAGCTGGAATTTCTATGCATCCTCACTAAAAAAAAAATTACTTGAAGACATCGAGACAGATGAATCCTAAGCTCAAGCAATCAATACCACCTGCACCTCCAGGCACATTCAGGGGATAAAAATGAAAAGGATGGAAATGGAAAGGGTCGGGGAAACCCTCCACTCTCAGGGTCATGAACAGGTGGTTCGAGGCAAGATCCTCAGCCTACCTTCACCTGATACCTCCATTCCAGGCACTCTAATTTGGCCAGTTTTGGCATGCAGGTGCACTCACTCTTTGGAGAACAGGTAAAATATATTCTCTTCTCCACAGTGGGAGCCAGAACCCACATTGAAGCCACTCCAAAATGTTAGAACTTCTGTACTGATGGTGGTACCCTGTTTCTGGTGCTTGAGATGCTTATTGACTATTGTCAATGAGAGTAGATAAGCAAAGCCTCACAAGAAAAAGGAGCTGATACAAGAGGTGACATTAGGTGTATCCTGTAAACAGGACCATTTGATGTGTAGTGACACCTAAAAGGAATCACTAATTCTTCTCTCCAGCCACCCAGATGAGTTCACAACTGTCCCCTTGAAAAGAAAGTTCTATTCATTGAGCTAGCTTCAGTGAAATAATATGGTTTTCCCTTCATCCCCAGTTGACTTTTAAACTAAGTGGAAAATCTTTAGACCCTACTGATTGCAAGAAATAAGAAAATTGGTGCCAAAAGGGAAAAAACCTTTAAAAAGCAAATGCCAGCGGGGCTTGGTGGCTCAGCCTGTAATCCCGTGCCTTTGGGAGGCTGAGGTGAGTGGATTGCCTGAGCCCAAGGGTTTGAGACCTGCCTGGGCAGTGAGACCTCATCTCTACAATAAATCAAAAAAAAAAAAAAAAATCAGCCGGGCGTGGTAGCGTATGCCTGTAATTCCGGCTACTTGGAAGGCTGAGGCGGAAGGATCACCGGAGCCCGGCAGGTCGAGGCTGCAGTGGCTGGGAGCAGCCACTGCACTCCAGTCTGGGTGACAGAGTGAGACTCCAATTCAAAAAAAAAAAAAAAAAAAGCAAATACCATGAAAGCTAAGATAGACAAGAGAGACCTCATCAAACTGAAAAGCTTTTGCACAGCAAAAGAAACCATCAAGAGAGTGGGGAGACAATCCACAGAATGGGAAAAAACTAATTGCTAATGATATATCTGACAAAGGTCTAACATCCAGGATCTAAAAGGAACTCAAACGAAGTAAAAGAGAAAACAACAAACAACTCTAATAAAAAGTGGGCAAAGAACATGAACAAACATTTTTCAAAAGATACACAAGCAGCCCACAGATACATGAAAAAATGCTCAGCCTCCCTAATCATTAGATAAATGCAAATAAAAACCACAATGAGATAACATCTAACTCCAGAAAGGATGGCCCTTATCAATAAATCAAAAAACAACAAATGATGGAGAGGGTGCAGTGAAAAGGGAATGCTTCTGCCCCATTGATGGGAGTGCAAGCTAGTTCAACCTCTATGGAAAGCAATGTGGCAATTCCTAAAAGAACTAAAAATTGATCTTCCATACGGTCCAGCAATATCTCTCCTGGGAATACACCAGGAGGAACATAAATTGTTTTACCAAAAAGATATCTGCACATGCATGTTTATAGCTGCACTATTCACAATAGCCAAAAACATGGAACCAACCCAACTGCCCATCAAAAGTGGACTGGATAAAGAAAATGTGGTACATATACACGATGGAGTATTATGCAGTCATAAAGAAGAACAAAACCATGGAATTCGCAAAGGCCACCATACTTAGTAATATATTACAGAAACAAAGAACTGACTACCAAATGTTCTCATTCATAAGTTACACCTAAACATTAATCACGTTAGCACAAGGGAGGGACTGGCAATCGCTGGATCCTGCCAGGGGACGGGCAAGTAGCAACACAAAGGGTACCTGGTCCCAAACCTGGGGACACGAGGGCCAGCTGGAGGTCCAAACTTCATCTGCATACAGCCTG